TTTCATGTATTAATATATAGGCCTAATGCACAGTCAAAAACAACATGACATGGCTTCAGGTGAATGAACAGGAGACAATCAACTTGGTCAATGAAAATGTGAATTTTTCGATAAAACATGACTTTCAAGATATGTTTACTGAGCAGGGTTCCCCCGACGAAACATTCCTGTGTATTTGATGCGGTGTAAGCAAGTATATATATGTTGAAAATACATCAACTTTGTCAGTGATGACAAAACCTGTTATTGTATAGATTTACTTTTAGACATAAAAAATATGTTTGGTATTTTGTGTGTAGATTAAAAACATGAATGTACATTGTTTGGCTTCAGATGAATGAACAAGACACAACAACTTGGACAATGAAAATGTGAATTTTTTCAAAAACTTGTAATTTTCTGAACATAGGTATAAAATAAGAGACAAGACAAGAATCACACATCAATTTTATTTCACATTATTACCGTCTTCCCGATGCCAGGGCATTAACTCACTGTAAAAGTCCAGTTTCCACCCTTGGCAAGGGCGGAAACTGGACTGTTAGAGTCTGTTAACTCCCTTGCCTCGGGAAGATGCATTATTACATATATGACATGGCAGAAGTAGTGAACACATCGTTTTGTTTCCACTGCACGTGTGACACGAGAGGAAGGTTGAATATAAATGAGAAACAATTTTAGTGGATCCACTGGCAATTGGGTAGCATCTCTGCCCTTACTTTCGACTGCAGGTTTCTTTGCTATTATGTCAGATACTGCTGCCTTCTGTTCATTGCTTGACCTCTTTGTAGGCTATATAACGGCTTCACTCTGTGTCCTTTAAACATAATATATAATTTTATTAACCCACCAGTCATATCATTCATTTATTAAATCTATCTCTTTTCACAATGTCTGAAATCATATGTTTCAGTTCAGTTCATATTTTATCAATTTATTTGAATTTATTAACTATTTCCTGCAATGTTATTGAAAAAGAAATTCTGGCACACAAGCTTCGACAACGGGTCCTAACTGAAAAAGTCAAAGCCCAAAACAAAGACGTTTCAAGCAAATCTTTAAATAAATTAAATAAAGTAATAAATGTACTCAACAATAATATCTCTAAAAGTTGTCAAACTTACATCTACCGATAAGTTACGATTTCCATCTTTACATACAATTCTGTAATGTAAGTCAAATGACATCGCGTCTTTTGTTGCCTTGATTTTCATGCTTGGACACAATGTTTAATGCCAAGTACATGTATATGCATAAGAAATCTTTGTCGCTGTACCTAGCACGATACGTCAACAAAGTTCCATATTTTAAATATGGGTCACAGTTTCATGCTTAAAATGTTCAGAATAACATGATAAAACCAAAATCTTACGTTTAAATCTCTTATCAAACATGAGGACGTTATCCACTGCTATAATTTGATTGACTGACCTAGGTCACATGCCTAAATTGGACCAATCACGTTACGGCAAAAAAGCGTCAAAAGAAACCAATTTCTATCCAATAAAACACATGGTACAACTACGAATATACCCCTGGCGAGGTTCCTGTAATTCTATGGATGTTCAGAGCTTTTTACCGATCATCAAAGTAATCTTGTTACTGAGAGGAAAGCAACTGTTACCAGGTAATAGGTAATGATAGATATTATTTAAAATTCTTTTCAGAAAAAAATACTGATTATGTAAACAATGAAAATGAAAAAGAAATAGGTAAGTGGATATTGTGAAATCTTAAAATTGCCGATAATCGCCACGATTTTTGCTTTGTCATTATGAATGTATTAGCTTACATATCTCTAAAAGATTAACTTAATTCAGTTGTAAATGAATTATTGAAATAATATTATGAAAACAACTATCATATTTCTGAACTTTAGGTTAAGACATTTTAAATGGTGTATGACAATTGCAGTAGCAAAGAAGTTTTAGAAGCTGATATTTTCCTTGATAAATGTGGGCTTCACCTCTCTCCCCAGAACTCGGTGTTATGGCATCAAAATTTCTGGTAGACTGGTGTTGAAGAGTAAATATATTTCGTTTTGCAAGTTTCTTTCTGAAAAGGGATCTATCTGAATTTGAATTACAATTTTTAAACCATACATGTAAATATAAAACCTTGTGTTCAGGAAAGCCCTGAGGGGAGCCTTACAATGTTATGTTCACAATAAAATAATAATAAGGGTAGCACTTTGATACCTTACTGGTTATTTATTATATAAGGCACGGTTTGACATTGGTGGAGATCACCCAATCAGTGATCATGACAAGAACGCTTACCATGGCTCGCTATTTCGATTGCTAGATCAATATATTGGCATACAAAAGTCAAACATCCACAATAATGACTATTTACGAGTCAAAGTGTGGCATTTATAAAATATGTATCCCATTTTTTGAAACAAATAAGGTTAATTGTTAATTTCAAGGCACAAGTAGCGATAGTCTGACTGTCATGGCTGTCATATCAGGAGTTGATGCATCTGCTGATCAGTTCTCACACAATTTTTCAGAAATTTATGGAAACAATATTGAATGAATTTTGGAATAAAATCATTAAAATAGATTATAAACATAATACCAAAAATACAATGAAAATTGATTAACCAGATAGTTAAATAATTGGACTGATTTACTGTCATCAGTTCAGATTTGTTGACATATTTCGGTATTGCATACTACATGTACTAATGGTAATGTCGTTGCTTTTGGGGAAAAAGTAGGCATTTTACAGAAGAAAATGAGGCACTATATCCTAATACACACTTACACCACATCAAATACACGGGATGTTAATTGCGTAGGACCCTGCTTGAGTGTGAAGGACAATATGACACTTGCACAATGAATATATAGAATATATAGTTTAGAAGTGGTATAAAACATTTAACTACTCCATGATTGCAGAACATCCTTCCATGAGTTTTTAAGCTTCTTTGTACTAAGCATTGCATAGTAGCAGCATAAGAAAATGGTTTTCTTAAAGACTTTAGTCAGAGGACTTGTTGAAACTAGGGCTGGGACGGGTAACACTTGGGTACTCGGCCCGGTGAGTAGTGAGTAGGACCAGGGTACCCACAGGACTTCCCGGACCCATAGTCATGTGATATATTGTTTAATGACGTAGAATCACTATAACTCAGTGGTAACACTACATGTACTTACTTCTGTCTGACTGTGCACACATTCCTTCCGACTGTTACCTGTTTGAATAAAGATAAAACGTTAGTCAACTTCAGTGTATGTTTACTATGTGTATCTAAAAAATACTGTTTGACAGGGCTCTGGTAAAACAATTCCCAGTCGGACATTTTGTACTCAACTCTTGAGGTCGCGGTAGCTGGGTAGTAAATTTGGACTCATCCCAGCCCTTGTGGTAAATCTTATTCACTAGCCCTCAGAGTTTGCAGCTGGTTCTGCTCAATATTGAAGCACTAAGATCAGGGCCCCGTTCCACAAAGCAATTGTAGCGCTATGACTGTCGTAAGTCTATGTTAAAGAATGTGAGTTACGATTGCCTGAGTGCTACAATCGCTTTGTGGAATGGGGCCCTGGTTCAGAATTATAGGACCGCCTCTGTGGTCTAGTGGTAGAGCGTCTGCCCGGAGAGCGGAAGGTCCGGAGTTCGATCCCCGGCCACGTCATACCAAAAGACGTTAAAAGATGGTACCTATTGTTACCCTGTCTGGCGCTCGGCATTAAGGGGCTAAAACAAGGACTGGTCAGCTCGGAGTCAGTATACTGTGTCTGAGTGGGGTATTCATGTTAAACTGCGGCATGGTATCTCAGTGAGCTAGCACTATAAATCTGCATCAGTCCGGTCTAGTACAAGCAGCCACACACACGCACACGTGCATGCACGTTGCTATATAAGTGCAATAATCTTGGACGCGACGTTTAACCCCATTTCACCTCACCTCAGAATTATACCCCTTAAATGCTTTTAGTCAATGAGGACCACCATCATCCGATTTTTATTTGTCCTCAGCACAATTAGCGAAACTAATGATGTAAGGAGCCTTGCAGAGTCGTTTGTTTTTGACACAGAGTGGTATCATATATGTCTAGTGAGTAAAGAATCCTATTTGCCTAGCTCATGACAATATGGATTTCCAACCAACCCTGAATGTTACATTGTTTGAAGTCTCAACATTTTGAAGGTGTGGGTTGGTGTGAGATGAGTGTTGGAGATCATGATTGGGGATGTTATGAAGAATAGTATAGGGAACGACAGTTCTGCTGCACTGCCACCTAGGCCATATTACCCACCCACCCCTTCCTCCCCCAATAATGCTACTACAGAGGTCATTTTTTATGCAAACTCTGTGATGCGATCCAACGATCATCATGGATCAAGATGCATATCCAGGAAACTTGAAGTACTGAGTTATTGATGATGAGCTGTTTTTAGGCTGAACGATTTCCCTACATCCTGATCATACCACCCACCCAGAAAAGAATGACTGCTATGTCTATGGGACTGGTCATTTATTACAGAGTGGTCAGAGGTTTTTGATTCTCTGATGTACTGAAAATAATGGCCCTCAGGGACCCCTAATGCTTGTGATATCATTGGATGATCCTCCACCCACGTCCTTGTACATTTATTTCATGACCTTCTCCAAAAGACAATACATTTATTTCATGACCTTCTCAAAAAGACAAAATGTAAAAGCACATCACTACCCCCCGTTAAATATGTGTATTATATTTTAATACCCTGCCACTAGAGTCTGTCATATTTGTTGACCCTCCCTTAATTCCCTCAGACCCACCCAGTTATCCAGTTTGAGAACTGTTTGGGTAACAGAGTATACGTACTTCATGGTTTTCTTTATTACCGGTACTTGGATTTGAATTGGTCAACCCAAAATTTCACAAATGTGTAAAAAATACATTCCTACCCTCAACATGCTCAAGTCTGTTAACTAACTTGATATGATAAAGTATTTTATTAGTTTTTGGAAACATAGGTGCCAAGTTTTCTGTTTGCTGTTTCAGAATGATATGTCAGGGTATTGGGTGAGGTAACAACACCTACAGCAGCACAGGATGGGGGATCACCACTTCGTCCACGATGACAGCAGCGACTCCTTTGGTCCAAAAGGCTCCCTGGACCCAGTTAGAGCTAAGACTTGCTACTTCTACAAAGACCAGGATTACAAATTTGGTGCTATCAAAGTGGCCGTTAATGAAAAATCCTACCGCAAGTTTGATGTGCTTCTCAACGAGTTGTGCCGGAGAGTGCCAGGTCTGAACTATGGAGTCAGAGGGGTGTTCACACCTAGGGGTCGTCACAGCCTCAAAAGTATCCAGGATCTTAGGGATGGAGGACATTATGTTTGTTCAACACGCCGACGTTTTGCGAGAGGCCTTGACCTTGAACAAGTTCACTCACCCGAGTTGTGGCATCTCAGCCCGAAGCCGAAGAGTGGGATTCGAGAGTATAACAACATCTTGCAGGAGGTTGACGTTGAGGACGACAGACCTCTCAAGCGGCGTAGAATGAGAATGGCATATGGAGCTAACATTAGCAAATCTCCAAAGAAAGTGACTGTCTTGAAAAATGGGGAGCCAAGCTTGAAACACATCATGTTGCTAAACAGAAAGACGGCACAGACTTTTGATCAGGTTCTTTCAGATCTCAGTGAAATGTTCAAGTTTGCTGTGCTGAAACTTTTCACGACTGAGGGACGTAGGGTAAGCATTGCCTGTTGCACTCTGACTGTATAGATGTAGGGCTAGGACGGGTAACTCAGGTACTCTGGTCGGGTGTGTCCTCAGTAGGACCAGGGTACCCGCATGACTACCCGGACCCATAGTTAGTCACGTGATATACTGTTTAATGACATTTAAACAATAGAACTCCATGGTTACACTACAAGTATAGCTAATGTTCACATTTCTTTCTGACTATGCAAGCAATCGTTCTGACTTTTATATGTTCAAGTAAGGATATTGCATCTATCAACTTTAGTCTATGCATGATCAAATCGTTTGATACATGTATCTAAATTCTTTTGGCCAGGGCTACCGTAAAACAATTCCGATTCAGACATTTACCTACAGCAGGTACCCAGTAGGGTCGGGCAATAGGTTGTCAGGTACCCGGGTAGTAAATTTGTACTCGTCCTAACCCTATTAATGTAATGATATCCTGGTTATTGTTTTCAGATAACCAGTTTGTCCCAGGTCTTGAGAGGCCCTGATGTGTTTTTGTGCTAGAATATCCTGGTTATTGTTTCCAGATAACCGGTTTGTCCCAGATCTTGAGAGGCCCTGATGAGTTTTATGTGCTATAATATCCTGGTTTTTGTTTCCAGATAACTGGTTTGTCCCAGATCTTGAGAGGCCCTGATGTGTTTTTGTGCTATAATATCCTGGTTATTGTTTTCAGATAACCGGTTTGTCCCAGATCTTGCGAGGCCCTGATGTTTTTGTGGTTGCTGGTAAAGAGCCCTTCAAGTCCATGCTTACGTTAATGTACAACGTCCCCCACCCGCCACCAGAAAGGGGCCCCTATCATCGGCTACGGAGCAGAAATCCCACCCGAGACCACATCGGAAGCCGGGTGCGGGAAAGAAGGGATCGCATGATACGAACAAGTAAGTTGTGTGTGAATTCAAGTAAGCTAGTAAAGCTTTACCCTGCTTTTAGCAATATTCCAGCAAGAGTATGTGGGGAACACCAGAAATGGGCTTGACACATTGTACCTATACGGGGAATCGACCAAGCGTTTTAACCACTAGGCTGCCCCATCATCCTGCGTGTGAATACAAGCCACTGATTATTTTTACAGGTTCAGGTGTGCAACATGTTTCATTTGTATCATTCAGTGTAGATCTTCCTCTGATCCTTGTTTGTCTGAAACCAAAGTTGGTTGCCATGATATTGTGTGCTCCAAGCTTAGGTTGGTTGCACACAGCTGTAGTTGGTTGAACTGGGTTAATACAGTTTGCCCTGTGTTCATGGTAGACATAGCCAACCTCAAGTTACTTGCACAGTGTTAATGACAGTCACACAGTGTTAAAGTAGATTGCACCGGGCTAATGGTGGGTGTAGCCAACCTCAAGTTAGGGTTCAATGTTAATGACGGTTACACGGTGTTAAAGTAGATTGCACCGGGCTAATGGTGGGTGTAGCCAACCTCAAGTTAGGGTTCAGTGTTAATGACGGTTACACAGTGTTAAAGTAGATTGCACCGGGCTAATGGTGGGTGTAGCCAACCTCAAGTTAGGGTTCACTGTTAATGACGGTTACACGGTGTTAAAGTAGATTGCACTGTGCTAATGGTGGGTGTAGCCAACCTCAAGTTAGGGTTCAGTGTTAATGACGGTTACACGGTGTTAAAGTTGATTGCACGGTGCTAATGGTGGGTGTAGCCAACTTCAAGTTAGGGTTCAATGTTAATGACGGTCGCACAGTGTTAAAGTAGATTGCACGGTGCTAATGGTGGGTGTAGCCAACCTCAAGTTGCACTGTGTTAATTTAAGATTGGTTGTACAGTTGGTTTGGTTGGTTTGTTGTTTTACGCCGCACTGAGCTAAAATAGGTTGCATTATGCTAGTGACCTTTCATAAGTTGATTACACACAGGTAAAGTTGGGTGCACAATGCTTTACATGTACATATTTAAGATTAATTTCAATTTTGACATTACCTTTCCCAGTAAAATTGTTTTGATAAAAAGATCCTTTTTATGGTGTTCTGTCTATCTATGTCCCAAAAGATTGCCCTGAAAGATAGGTTTCAGAGCTGATGATGTTTCACAGTACTGTAAATCTTGAAATTAACAAGAGGGTGAATTAAATGCAAAAAATGCGAGTGGACTTTGCTCGCATTTTTAAACATCACATTTATATCAACAATAAGACGTTTTGGATAGCAAAAATATCAACTTAGACATACGCGGATGTATTCAACACCGCTGTTGGATTAAGGTGAGGATTCTAAACCTGACTGAGGATATCTTAAGATAGAAATCCACTGATCCTTGAGAGGAGGGGGTGTCACATTCATATTGAGTCGCATTTGTGGCTAGGGTCGAGTGGTCGCATTCTTTTGGAGACGCATTAATTTCACAATTTACAGTATTTAACAATTTGTTTTGGGGTTAGAATTGGTATTCTGGAACCCATATTGTGAGAGACAACTAACAGAATCAGGTGGTCAGACTCATGACATGGTTCACTGTAACCCAGTTACCTAGATCAATGCTCATGATGTCAGTCATAGGATTGTCTGGTCCTGATTCGATTACTTACAGGCGGCCATCATGAAGCTGGAATATTATGTGTTGTTAATCAACAAGCAAACAAAACTTAAAGACCCTGTTGGGAATCCGGCTTAGAATTTGTCTCCAGGAGCCTTTGCTTCCCGTAAGCAGCCACGGTGGATCGGGTGGCCTCAGACTCGGTGTCTTGGTAGATTGAGTGTCTATGTACCCCAGTGGAATTGGACACGAACCACAATATCAATCACTGGTTTGTCTGGTCCAGATTTGAATATTCATATAGCAAAAAACAAAGAAAGTACTCATTTCTGAAAGAGAAACAGACGTCATTGTAACACAGCATGTTAAGAGAGAAGTAGATCTGATTGTTACCTTTCTTTCAGAGGGACGATGGAAAGTGTGGATATCGACCAATGAACTTGGCAGCGGAGGCACAGAAGCCCAGGTGACCTTGACTGTGTATGGCAAGAAGGCCAACTCTGGCCCTATACCTCTCGGCTATGCGGATAATCAACACTTTCAGAGCGGACAGATTGATGAGTTTGATGTAAGTTGTTTTCAATTAGAATCTTTGACCAATCAGAGTGTCGCTTAACAGATTATGAAAGTGACAGTCGGAATGTGATTTCTAATCATGCAACCTCAAAAATTTTAACACGGGGTATTTCAAACAATAGTTACGGGTTTAACGACTGAATCCATACAATCTAGACCATCTATTAGCCATTCCAGAGTGTTCTTTTGTTCAGGTTTCAAATTTGTAATCGAGAATTTGTCAAAATATGTTTCGAAGCGTAGTCGCCAATTTGAAATTAGTGCTGTAAAGCACGAGAAAGCTGCCTTCTGATTCGTCTTTCCATTGGTCGGTCAAAGTTCGCGCAAGGTCGGTCTGACGTGACCAGTAATGGGATGTCCTCAGATCTTTGTTTACGGGTAACGAGAACTAAGATCTGATTTAAATGAGATTGGGTAAAGATGTTTCCAGATGACCTTCTGTGCATTATCTTAACAAGGACAAAAAAATCAATGAGGTATAATTATTTGTTACATTGTCCTTTGGTGTAGGTAATTAAGCTAGGCCAGGCATCGGTTTGATTAGATTAATGGAGACTTAATCGGGTTGAGATGTGAGGCGGTGTAATTGGCCATTAGTTGACTAGAAGGGATGATGATTCCTCCATGTCGCATTCTGCTTGTGGTGGAAATCATGCATCGACTCACGACTATGTGCAGTGATGCACCAATATGGAGGAGTCCTGGTTTTCTACTTGTCGCCAGAAACCATATACTCCATTGGGAGGTACTATCATTGGAATGCATGACCCTTCAATGCTTCAAAATTCCGAGCCCTTAGTTTTATAGGAAAGATGGTGATCAAACACGTGAAGTTCATGTCATCACTTACTGCTGATGGTCGTCTTCCTGAGGCAAGGGAATTAATTGACTGTAAAAATCCAGTTTCCACCCTTGCCGAACTAGGCTGGAATTTCTGGGTTCGATCGTAGTGCCACCAGTGGCCGTTATGATTTATGTCCCTTCTATGTCCCTCCTGTTGACCAATTAGATTCAATCTCTCGTATCACTTACATTTGCTTCAAACAAAGTGACCGCGCCCAGTCAAGACAATCTGATCAATAATCGAGCCTTATATTGTAATTAAACAGGCCTTACTTTGCGAAATGCATCAAATCACATGAGCACCTTGATTAGAAACATGAAAGGATTTGGAAAATTTCTGTTAACAGCATGTTGACGGTACACATGATTTGCCATGCTTGCTGTAAAAGGCGACTATGCTTGTCGTAAGAGACAATTAACGGGATCGGGTGGTCAGGCTTGCTGATGCATGTCATCGTATCCCAATTGCGTCAGCGATGCTCATGATGTCAATTACTGGATTGTCTGGTGAAGACTCAACCACCATCATATAGCTGTAATATTCCTGAGCATGGTGTTAAACAACAAACAAACAAACACATGCTTTGCAAATCCTGCAATCAACCAAAATCTGCTTAGAAGTTTACGTATCCGATGTCGATTTCGTTACACGATTTTGGTTGGACTATGCATAGACTCGTTAGTCCAGCCAAAATAGAACTCCATAATTCCAGCCTAGTGGGGCATGGATGGAAACTGAGCTTACGTCATCTGTTGACTCCTTTGCCTCGGGAAGATAGCTGATGGTGTTCAACCTTTATTCTCATATGTCGGTACCTGTTACCAACATGCTATAACCAGCAGATAACTGTTACCAGCATATAACTGTTACCAGCATATACAACTGTTACCAGCATATACAACTGTTACCAGCAGATAACTGTTACCAGCATATAACTGTTACCAGCAGATAACTGTTACCAGCAGATAACTGTTACCAGCATATAACTGTTACCAGCAGATAACTGTTACCAGCATATAACTGTTACCAGCAGATAACTATAACCAGCAGATAACTGTTACCAGCAGATAACTGTTACCAGCAGATAACTGTTACCAGCATATAACTGTTACCAGCAGATAACTGTTACCAACATATAACTGTTACCAGCAGATAACTGTTACCAGCAGATAACTGTTACCAGCAGATAACTGTTACCAACATATAACTGTTACCAGCAGATAACTGTTACCAGCAGATAACTATAACCAGCAGATAACTGTTACCAGCAGATAACTGTTACCAGCAGATAACTGTTACCAGCATATAACTGTTACCAGCAGATAACTGTTACCAGCAGATAACTGTTACCAGCATATACAACTGTTACCAGCAGATAACTGTTACCAGCAGATAACTGTTACCAGCAGAAAACTGTTATCAGCATATATAACTGTTACCAGCAGATAACTGTTACCAGCAGATAACTGTTACCAGCATATAACTGTTACCAGCAGATAACTGTTACCAGCAGATAACTATAACCAGCAGATAACTGTTACCAGCAGATAACTGTTACCAGCAGATAACTGTTACCAGCAGATACAACTGTTACCAGCAGATAACTGTTACCAGCAGAAAACTGTTATCAGCATATATAACTGTTACCAGCAGATAACTGTTACCAGCATATACATCTGTTACCAGCAGAAAACTGTTACCAGCAGATAACTGTTACCAGCATATACAACTGTTACCAGCAGATAACTGTTACCAGCATATACATCTGTTACCAGCAGAAAACTGTTACCAGCATATATAACTGTTACCAGCAGATAACTGTTACCAGCATATACATCTGTTACCAGCAGAAAACTGTTACCAGCAGATAACTGTTACCAGCATATACAACTGTTACCAGCAGATAACTGTTACCAGCATATACAACTGTTACCAGCAGATAACTGTTACCAGCAGTCATCATAACTGTTACCAGCATATAACTGTTACCAGCATATAACTGTTACCAGCATATAACTGTGGACCCGTGAGTGAGTGAATGAGTTGTGTTTAACGCCGCTTTTAACAGTATTCCAATTACATGACAGTGTGTCAGCTTAATGTGGGAGGAAAGCCACTTCGCTGAAAACCCACGAGCACGGGTATGGTGCTGCGAAACCTAGAAACGTAATCACTGCAGTTCACAATGTGACACTTGCACCACACTTGCATCACACTTGCATCACACCACAAATTGTCACATAAATCCCCAATTGGGGTTTGAAATTTTTCTAAAGTATTGTCATCTATCACATTTTTTAGCATTTCAGTATGAATTTAATTTCAATTGAGAGAAACAATTTGTTCTTTATACACTAGACATGCTAAGTTGTACTAAATGTGTTACGCAGGTATTATTGGAACATCAAGTTTTTTTCTCCCTTGGTTCCTCTCCCATCATCTCAACTATGAGTGCTTCTCCATGGAACCCTGGTATCTCCACTTAACTAGGGTTGTGGGGTACCCTAGTGGTTAAAGCGTTCGCTCGTCATGCTGAAGACTCGGGTTGGATTCTCCACATGGGTACAATGTGTGAAGCCAATTTCTGGTGTCCCCGCCGTGATATTGCTGGGATATTGCTAAAAGTGATGTAAAACCATACTCGCGCGCTCGCTCACTCACTCACTCACTCACTCACTCACTCACTCACTCACTCACTCACTCACTCACTCACTCACTCACTCACTCACTCACTCACTCACTCACTCACTCACTCACTCACTCACTCACTCACTCACTCACTCACTCACTCACTCACTCACTCACTCACTCACTCACTCACTCACTCACTCACTCACTCACTCACTCACTCACTCACTCACTCACTCACTCACTCACTCACTCACTCACTCACTCACTCACTCACTCACTCACTCACTCACTCACTCACTCACTCACTCACTCACTCACTCACTCACTCACTCACTCACTCACTCACTCACTCACTCACTCACTCACTCACTCACTCACTCAACTGTTGAAATAGGTTTCCATGATCTGCTGTATTATTGTCGCCCGTCTAAATAGATCATTTCAATGTTCCGTCTGATTTATCATTCAAAGAACCAGGGCACACTTCAGTTGTTGTTAGGTAAACATGCATGTCTATCAATGGAGTATTCACCATTTCAAAACCGGTTTGTGTTGCGTCAATCTTGGCCTTTCACCTGTATTGGGAGATGGGTAAATGTGTTCTTGTATTACTGGTGTAAACAAACCACAACAATAGCTACACCACGCAGTTGCTATGCACTGATAGTTTCTACAACCTTGTTCTCTATGAGTGAGTGAGTGAGTGGGTGAGTGAATAAATGTTTTTTAACCCTTGTTGGTGTTTTGGATTAGAATTGGTCCTAGCAACCTATGCTGGTTGTGAGGGAGAATTAATAGATCTGATGGTTGTCATCGTACCATGACTACATTGATTGTTGCTCTGAATATCAATCACTGCCTTGTGGGGTCAGCCTCTATTATTTACAGGCTGTCATCATATAACTGGAATATAACTGAGAGGGCATTAAACAACAAAGAAAGAAAGATGCTTTCAGTTGCAGTCCTGTACATCATGTCAGATTGTAAATAATTGTGTCTAGATCTCCAACCAGTGGTTGATAGCATGAGCAATGAACCTTGAGTCAGTGCATGAACAACTGGGTCCCAACTGAAGGGGCATGGGGTACTCAGATCTATTGTCGGCATAATTTCTTACCCCAGACTGCTGTAGCATTGTTCCATAAAATATGTTCCGTAAGCCATAAAATATGTTCCGTAAGCCAGAAAGTATCTCAAGAAAATCTGCTAAAAATCATTGTCGCTCCAATCTTATTAAAATTATGAACTTAGTGCTCGCTACCGCTACATGAAGATCTGAGGACATCCCATTACAGGTCACATCAGAACGACCTCTCGTGAACTTTGCTCAACCAATGAAATCACTAACAAGTCCTCATTAGCCAATCAGAAAGCATCTTTCTCTACCTTTACGGCACTTCTAAGTTTCAAACTGGCTTTGAAACTATTTTGACAAAGTTCCTCATTCAAAATTTGAAAACTACACAAAAGAACATTCTGGAATGTCTAATAGATGACTGAGATTGTATGGCAGTGCT